ATACAAAAACTATCCTTGTGAATTGTGTGTTTTCTGATATTTTAAGGAGTTTGAAACTACAATGTCATCAGTTGACGTGTCCAGCATACATTTCTGGTACACAAAATACTATTTGTGCTCAAAAGTTGTAGGTCTTCTTTCACAGAAAATTTGAGATGTCCCGATCCGATCACGTGATCGGGGATCGGGGATCTTTTTTTTTTTTTTTTATAAAATATTTGTATTATTTTATTTAATGTTACAAAACAAAAATGACCATGTTCACGTCTTAAAGTCATCCTGAGGCCTTAGTTTTGGTTTAAAATTACACAACATCATGTATGTGTTGCTTCTTTTGGGCTTGTTTTCATAGACCTGGTTGCTTATTTCTCTCAAATCTGGCAAGGAGTGGGCAGGGCGCAGTGTCTAATAGTAGCAGTAAGCTAACAAGAGGCTACGTTCATCTGGTGACTCGGGAGTCGGGACAGAGAAAATGTCAGGAGTTTGGAAGTATTATAAAATTGAAAGCGAAGGCAGTGTAACAGCCAGATGCAATGTTTGCAAGGCGGAGGTTCCGCGTGGTGGAAAGAACAGAGCTACGTTCAACACGACCAATCTAATACAAACACCAACAACAACACGACGAGTACACAGCGGCCACTCAGGTAACGGCACTGAAACAACCGACACTTTCAGAGACTTTTAAAAGGAAAGAGAAACTGCCCCAGAACAGTGAAAAGGCCAAAAAAATAACAGCCAAGATAGCTGAATTCATCGCGTTGGATGACCAGCCGTTATCTGTTACCTTTTCTTTCTCTTAATGCATTGCATAAAGATCGGATCGGGAAAAATCGGTATCGGCAGATTGTCAAAATCAAATGATCGGAATCGGATCGGGAGCAAAAAAAGGTGATCGGAACATCCCTACAGAAAATCTCCAATTGATCTTGATCCTACTCAGATAGATGTATCCTCCTCCCACGTACAGCTAAAGAAACCGGGAGACCACATTTCCAATTATGTAGTATCAGAATGTGGGCAGTAAATCTAAAAGAAAAATGTGTTTTGGGGAGCAAGTTAGCTATTTTTCTATTTTAAAAAGTACAACAAAAACACACATTCCTGGAAAGCTTTTTAAATCTCAGGGTTTTTTCCAAACCGGGTAAGAGGGGCGCAGCGCCCTCTCATTTTTGGCATGCACCGTCATACCAAAATGCTGATTTTCCACGTAAAATGTTAAAGTGATGCCAGAAAACAATACTTCTGTTCGTCAACAACCTTTAAATGACTAAAAGAAATATGAATATCGTGTGAAATAGACCGTCGTTTAACCATTTTGAATCACTTAGACATAATATGGTGGCAAACAAATGACAAATTAGTCATCAAGCAGAAAGAAGAAAACAACATTCAATATGTTCAATATTACATTGAATTTTGCATTCATTATAATACAACAATTGTTTCCCTACAGCTGTTGTTTATTCACAATGTGAAAAGGTTTAGCTTTTAGGTTACTAACTTCACACTACTCTATCTCAACTTGAGTTATTGCTAACACACCTTAACACACAAATGGTTGGGAACTAGCAGTGACCTTTCCCACTAAATGTCCCTTAGTATAATGACTTCTTCAAAAGCTTCCTCTTTTCAGTTTCCATTCAGCAGAAGCATCACCCTACACCACTTAAACCCTAACTGATGAAGACATCAACTGTTCCTGACTGATGCAACACCATATAATTTACAAAGTCTGTTAACATTCAGCTCCAGCTGTTGGGCTGCGCTATCCATCAACTGACAAGTGACAATGTAAGATGCTAGTGACAGATTGAATAGTTGGTACGTGCTGCTGCTGATAAAAAGGTTCGGCATGTGTGAACTGGATGCTATATTCTGCTTCTTCAAGGCCTTCTTAAATACTCTAAAATACATACAGGGTAGCAACTCGTCTACGCATCATGAGTAATACAGCTACAATAAAAACGTTATGGCCTGTTTAAATGTGTTTGCCCAAGGTGTGATAAACCCTTGATGATGGCCGACTTCCTAACATCATTTAAAAAGGCAACACACCTTTTTGGCCGCTCCGGGCAGCACCTGTACCAGGAAGTTACAGATAAGCATGCAATGTGTTTAACATCCTTATTTCTATCCTTGGTAATGAATTGGCATCGAAAGGCGGGCTATCATTTTCACGAACACTTTCAAACGCACCAGTGGCACACCATGTGTGTCCTTCACAATAAAAGCCCTCAACATACACTATGCATAATGTATGTTTATCCTGGGGGAAATGTAATTCCCTCTGAGCATCTCTTTAGGAAGCGTCTCAACAAAATAGCTTGCACTTATCTTTGCAAACCTGTGTGAAGGTTAAAAGGTGTGTGTGTAAATAGATTATCTTTATCAAGGACATATGGATATTTAAATGTTCTCACTGCATGACGTTGACCATGATGTTTATTAATTAATAGTAAGGCAAATAATAATTCAAATTCCATGCTGTCATCATTACTTTCCTGATGTCTTAGGTTTTTGCTGTGGTATTGTTTAAGTATTAAAATGAAGATACAGGTTTTGTATTGATGTTAGTAACCAAATATCTTTCTAATTGTGACCAAAGAACAGATTCAAAAAGATGCTGTGCTGTAGCATTAAGTTGAAATGAGGCATTCTTGACCTATGGAGCTTACTGTCGGCACATCTAAAGAGTATATTGTATTTGGTCTAACTAAGAATGGCTTATAAAGCTGAAATGATCAGTTTAGTCATTCATCCACAGGAGATTATTCTGCAACAACTGTAACAACAACTGTAATAATAACTTAAATGTACATCACATTTTTCAAGGAGACGGTTACCAGTTTAAAAGATGTCAGTATTTGCTGGTTTGGGTAATAAACATGATATATCTTGATGTAGGAGACACAAGCACTGTTATTTGTTACATTTGAAAAATTGAGTTGGTATATTTTAGATTTTTTTACAAGAATATTCTTCTTTATCTAGGTAACGATGATTAACCACAGCAACAGTACTTCAAATATGCTGTTACATTTACACAATTGTCAAATTGAAATACTTTAATGATTTTCAAGGCAACCTTTTTGGTCTCAAGTTGGGTATGCTTTGGGAAAAAACCAAAGAGATCTGAATCAATCGTGTTTTTTATCTTGATCTAGTGAAAGTTACAACATGTAAAACCTGCCATCTAAAGCAGCCGTTACATAAGCATATTAGAAGGGAAGCAGCACGTTCAAACCCCGTTTGATTTGGATTGTGAACAGGCTATTGATGGGAAATCTTATTAAAAAAGCGTTGAACAATATTAATATGGATTTAAACCTTGTTTGAGCTACCGATAAAGGTCCGGTTACAAACTTTTACAAACAATGAGATTACAAATAATGTCCTTGGTCAAGCCTTTCGTGTTTAACCTGACTCACATTGAGCATTGTTGCACTGTTGAGCCCTGGGGGATTACAACTACCTCCAGTTTGTTTGAAGTGGATGTAAACAGCAGCAATTAGTCCAGGTCACATCAGACGGCCTCTAAAACAAGCCAGCCCTTGATATAATATCCAGCGAGAGGAAAATCAGGTGCACAGTCTTAACCCTTGTGCCCATAAAGTGTTGAGTTTTGTGCATAGACGGGTTTCCTCACTAATATAGCATGACAGTTTAATGAGGTGTAGATGCAAAATGTTGTAGTAGTGGTCCGTACCGCAGCCTGGTGCACCAACACAAATATTGGTGTGGTCGTATGTTCATGTTAACAATAGATAAAAAAACATTTCTAATGTGTACAATAAATCTTTAATATGGTATAAATCAAGGAAGCGTCAAGCACCTCTGTATATTTACAGCAATAACAAAACTGCACATTTCACACCCGAATCATAACATTCACAAGTGACATCTTTTCTCTACATCACCCAGGAAACACTGATTTACCACAGCAACAGATCTATAAACAGACGTCCCACACTGATATATGAATATAACATTAAAAAATGTATCATTAACCTATGAAGGCGAAATGTCAGAATTGTTATGTTCAGGATCAAATGTAGCACATAAATGTGTCAGACATCACTAGGTAAGCTTATGTATGTTTTAAGCATGTAGAAATACACAATTGCAGCCGTTTGCAAGGTTTTTGTGATTGTAAGCTTATTTTTAAAGATATTTCTGAGGCTAAAAGTCATTAGTACGACTCAAGTTACCACTACCGTCCACACAATGTGCTTGCATTTGAGGGTTTCTAAGGAAAGTGGCACTACTACTGAGTAATTACCTTATCCTATTATAGCTTTTGGGATTTTTCATCTCCTACAATATTCATATACATTTTTGTACTGTCACAGGTGTCTTTGGTGACTAATAGATATATTAACGCAGCAATGTCTTGTAATATTGACCATTAATATGAGTATTATGGGACTTTGGTACTGCACGTGTTTTAATCACCATAGAGAAATATTCCCAGTGAGCCTATAGTGAGTGTTAAATGCTATATACTTCCTTCTTTATGACGTTGTTATCTCTGCTATGCTGTCACTTTGATATTGATTGAGGGATGTAGCTACTGTGTACTAACACTGAGATAAGTTTACGGACATTATCGTGTCTGAGGTGTATCATAAATACTATAATAATATCAACATTAAGCTAGCTGACGTTTATTAGACAGTTTACTACCGGAGTGCTCAGTCCCATAGGAAACAACTGCAGTTTCCGACCTTCTTTATACAGCAAACGAGAGCACTGAATACAGCATGACATGAACTGGGAGCTTGTTAACACAGTGAATGCTATCAAGTGGGTTATTTAGAGTAAGCTATGACCATTAGTGGCTTCTTCTGCCCGGAAAGAAAACAATAGAATGACATAACAATGCATAACCTTGTCAGGTAGTACGTGAAGTACACACCAATGGAGTTAGCGTATCTTGTGACATACACGGCGGTCGTACAAACCGTACGCCGGCCGGCAGCGAGTGACGGAGACGTACTCACCCAGAAAGGGAGCTCTGGTCCGCACAGCCGCTCCATCTCTGTGACTGTCTCGGCGGGAGACCAACGCGGAGCTCACCCTATACCGGTCGAGCCCTTTCTCGCCGACCAACTTTCCTTTTTCCTTGGCGTTAAAAAAAAAATAGATGCTCGCTAACTGTCACATGCCAGGTATGTGTAGCGGAGGCGCCTCGGTTACCGTGTCCCTCCCCCCGGCGACAACGTGGAGCAGTCAGGAAACGGTCCGCTCCTTCCGCCCTGTGGAGAATTAGTTCACCGGGAGGCGAGGCTGTCGCGAGGGCAAGGCAGAGCAGGGTGTCAGCTTACTAAGCCCCGCCCCCCATCTTTCTCTGTTTTTCCCCTTGTATTCAACAAAATTATAAATGTCAATCAAAAATGACATAGACAAAACATTGAAATCAGGGATACAGTCAACTTTATTGTCAACTTCTCTTTTTGTGTGACAGAAATTCATCATAATTATCTCACCACAGAGAGTAAATATATACAAAAATAAATATATAGCCTACATATTTATTTAAAATTATTATAACGTAGGCCTATAGGCTACGGGTTTGAGTGTAGTCTAGTGGGCCAGACTGCTAAACGGATTAATTGAAAGAGATGATAAATGATTTCAGCACCAAAATATATACAGTAGTGCAAAACTGTCCATGGCAGCGTAAAAAGTGTCTGGTAGAATAAAAGTGTCTGGTACAGTCTGTCTCTGTTTGTGCCATATTGTTGTAATTTTTTGTAAACATGTTCAAAGTTTGGTTTAGAATCAGTCTATTTCTTCTTGAGAGTAACATTTCCCCCAAACTAAAACGTTTTGTTTTAAAAGCTTGACATATGGAGCTTACTGTCGGCACATCTAAAGAGTATATTGTATTTGGTCTAACTAAGAATGGCTATAAAGCTGAAATGATCAGTTTAGTCATTCATCCACAGGAGATTATTCTGCAACAACTGTAATAACAACTGTAATAATAGCTTAAATGTACATCACATTTTTCAAGCAGACGGTTACCAGTTTAAAAAATGTAAGTATAGGTTTGGGTAATAAACATGATATATCTTGATGTAGGACTGGGAACGCAAACGAAACGCAAACGAACCAAATTCAATATCAAAAAAGTCTTCCGTTCACACCATAGACTGTATATATAAAGGTTCACACCGATACGGCTCAATAAACGTGTCCCTTCACACGAGACCGCTCGACCCGCTGTAGTACATATGCCGGGCCTGTAAGTGGCGCTGTACTTCCGCCACAAAATACACCAAAAGAAGCGAAGAAGACCCCCGAGCATGGTTGCCTGGTTGCCCTTCTGTTTATTCTCCGCGGTGGATTTAGCAACATGTAGTTCATGTAGTTCTCCATGTCCACTTGTTGCTGATGGTTATGGTAGACGAGCTGTAGATTTTGCACTAACATCTGTAGCATGGTCAGTAGCAGTACAGTGTTTCCCACAGATCTGAAATATACTTGGGGGGGTGGTGGTAGCGGGGGGGTGGGTGGGGAGGGGGGGGCTGACGTGCAACAACATTAAAATTAACCTTTATGTTAGTCGCCTTGGGACCCGTTATCGTTTTAGGGGTCCATTTCCGCGGTTCCGTTACGGCCTCGTGTGAACGAACGGGCTATACGAAAGAGAAAAGTAGCGGATACAACCCGTTTCGTTCCCGTGTAAACAGCACTGATGCAGATGAATGCCCAAGGTCAACAGAGTTTGTGTAAGATCTAATGATTCATATTTCAAAAAGTTAGTAATAGCATTACATTAGCTTACCATTACAATATATATTATGTTTTTGATATGACCTTAGACATGATTTTGCAAAACGCAATAAAATAACACTCAAAGCCAAACCAGCAGAGTATTTGTGGCTACAGAAAGAGAAATTTAACATTATTTCCTTTTTGGAAAAACATAACAGATTAAAAACAAAAAAAGGCTTGCAGTAGGCTCCAGGACCAGGATCACTTTTAGAAATAGGCAAGACTTCTTCAAAATACTCTCGGCATGTGACTTGTTTCCTAAAACAGATGCATTTCTCTGTCTGGGGGCGCTGGCCTACATTTGCTGCCCTGTGGCTACCGGCTGCTTCTGAATACTTAGCATGGGTCAAATGCCGAGGGTAGATGTCTCCAAAGGAATCAAAAAGTAAAATCTAATTAGAAGCTTGATTTAGTAATCATTTCAACTCTTCCTTTTTCGAAATTCACAGACAAAGCTCAGGAATTACCCAGCTCTGATGTGGCATTTAAAAAGTCCTGGGTTCATTTGAGAATGCAAGTGTAAGAAAGCTGATAGCCCGGTGCTAAGGAAGCTGTACGCTCGGGGTTAAAGGTTTCATGCTGGAATCTTCCCCACCCTCAAACCCCGTACACAAACAATTTTCCCATGACGCAAATAAGGGGGACTGCGTCTGAAGATTTGTTTAAACTTCGAAAACAGAATTCCACCAGTTTACATGTTTTTTATGTAGCATTTGCATCATTCAACATGTTTATTGCCACTCCTTTTATACAAGTACATTTTTGTGAAATACTTTTTGCTGGGAGGCAGCATTAAAGGTAGGGTAGGTAAGTTTGAGAAACCGGCTCGAGATCGCTAGAATTTGAAAATACACAACCGGAGAAAATCTGCCACTTCCTTATAGAGCCCCTCCTCCAACACACACGAACGCGCACATGACCAATGAGGGCACGAGATAAGTTTGTGCACAGATGGAAGGCTGACAGGCAGGTAGGCCATCCAGTTATTTTAGCCGGGCCGGCTAAAATGATTGGTCATACTTTTTACAGTATTACGGCTTCCACAGATGACATTTTTTTATGGATTTTTTGTCAAAGCACTTAAGATATTCATTGCTATCGGGATGTTAAGAGCATTCCATGGAATATAACAAAAAGTGTATCTCGAGCCGGTTTCTCAAACTTACCTACCCTACCTTTAAGGATGAACAATAAATGGTAAATAAAAAAAGACATTGGAAATATATCAGCAAAATAAAAGGAGAATTCAAAACAATAACATTTCCCACCCGAGTCAGTTAAAACTTTGTGTAAGTGTTTATGTGTAAGGGTAATGTTTGCTTGGTAAAAGTGGTAAAGATTCCTATGTTAAGGACATAGATGGTGGTATAATCCAATAGTTGTAATATAGCAGCATATCCATTCAACTATAAGAGTTTATTTAGAGTTTAATTACATTGGTTGATTACACATAATATTATTGTCATTATGTACGGTGGCCGACAGGTGCACATGAGCTACAACGGCCCAAAACACTTCCTTTAGCAGAAATCGCTGCACTTTCAAAAATTATGCACATAAAAAAAATCACAAATGTGCCAAAACCAACCCAGTCTCACGGCATTTCGTGTTATAGTCACGACATTTAATCTATTGATTCGTGTTCACTAACACGATTTTCACCTTTTTTTCGTGTCACACAGAACGATTTCAAAAGCAATGTATTTCTATTGGTAGTGTGTTTCGTGCCTGCAACACGTCTTTTTGTCCGGTCGGGTCTTGGAAGACCGGAAGCTGTGTGGTTCATAAAAACATGTTCTTTATATATACAGTACAGTCTATGGTTCTTACTCAATATCAAGCCACGATTATTTGTTTTTAATCGTATAATGTCGGACTTTTTTTGCCGTCAGTGAGTTAAAGAAATGGGGCTCAGAGCCTCAGGATACTGAAATCTGTATTTTTTGTAATCTTTTTTTCCTTCTAATTTGTTATTCTTTTCTAAATAATTTACTCAACAATAACACACAATTATCCTTGTTTTTATTTATTTGTTTAATTCCATAATCTCCGGCTTTTTTGGCGTCCGTCAGGAACTGAATTTCAAAATAAAATAACCGGAAACAGATACACATTACATTACATTACATTTCATTTAGCTGACGCTTTTATCCAAAGCGACTTACAATTACCAATTACAGGGACATTCTCCCTGGAGTAACTAAGGGCTAAGTGCCTTACTCAAGGGCACACTAGTGGTGGTGTTCCAGGCGGGATTTGAACTCACAATCTTCCGATCTTCAGCCGTGGCTGTGTGTACCTTGTGTGCACCGCCTAGTGGTTAAAGCACGTTATTGAATTATTGTTTTAATGTGTTATATTCGATGAAACAAATATTAAGAGTACATACTTTCAAAGGGGGAATGCAGAAGGTCAATGATAGAAATATAGAATATAAAAAATCAAGAAGATACTGTCAGTGATCTCTACAATAAAACAGTTTAGTGCCGGACGTCCAAAGATATTAATAGGAGGATGTGCAAAACAGAAAAACTAATTAACCTAGAATACTTTAGGTTAAGGTCTTCTTTTAAATAAGAAAAAAGCTTTGGGGGTATCTACAGATAAATATTAAGCCTGACAAAGTACTTAACGTCTAATATATTGCTTTCCTGCAATGTTAACTATGTTGAAGCACTTATTTTAACTGATATTATACATATGAATTATACTCTTATAAGATGTATGTAGATAGTATAAGAAATGTGCAGAATATGACAGTTTAATGGTGGAGGTATACACACATATTGATAGATGTCTTGTAATGCACTGTTGAGGAACCGGCGACCCAAGTTTTTCATTCATTGCATAAATACACCGTAGTTGTGTATATGATATGTCAATAAACCTTAGAAAATCTCGAAATCTTGAAAGGGATGTGCAAAATAGCCATTATATACAGTCTTTAATTAACTATTAGTAGAGAATAACGAGTAATGAATATACTTTATAGGGATCTGCAGATAAATGTTTAGTCTTCTCAAGCACCAACTATCAAATATCTCGCCTGATTGTTGGCACTTGACAATCACCTTCCCTGAATTTTACTCAGGTGTAACTAAAGTCTGATTTAAGGGTTGTTTATATTTCACATCATTAATCAGAATCTGCTGGTCCCGTTAAATCCAGTTTTGGATAGTCTGCCGTGGTTTCGTTCCATTTCAAAGAGCTGTTTGACGCTCGGCGTAACCATGGCGCACTACATCCAATCCCAGAGCTTGAAGATTAATCACGGGGACTGTAGTCCCAAACGATAGCTGGGGATTATGGGTAGTGTAGTGTCTTCGGCCATCCTAAACTCCGAAATGTTTTCCGGATTTCATATCGCATTAACACCATATCCCAACGTGCATTGCGGCTAAAACATCCAATCACCGAGCTTAAACCATAGCTGAGGATCTTGGGTAATCAGTTTGGTGGCTGTGTATCGCAATGATGCT